GGATGTGAAGACTGCTTAGCATTTGAGCTGGGATCTAGGTTGTTCTGACATTATCTGTTCTATAGGCTTTCTCTCAGAAATCCCAAGTTTTATTCAGTTTGTAGCTGATTTACGCTACAATCTCATGTTCCATATGTTCTTTCTTTCTTTTTTTTTTTTTTTAAAAAAAACCCTTATTTTATTTTGGCATCAAGGGGAAAATAGATGAATTATTTAACTCTTCTTTCACTGAGTTAAGGCAAAACAGAAAGAATGCAATGGGCAATATTATAACTGACATTTTGGAGAACATTGGGGTCATCATATGACTGAGAACATGATTAATTTTTTGAAGGTCAGGAAACTAATACTTTTCCAGTGGATTTACTAAGGGAACCAACCACCTGGCTTCTAGTTTTGAGACAACTGCTCCCCAGGAAAAAGTTGCTTTTTTCTTCACAGAGATTCTACTTTGTTTTGCATCTGTAACATATAGATTGTATTCCATGGAAGTAAGAAATACAATTACTGTAGCCCTCATTTTTTTTCCTCATACCTCTACTGAAGACCCACTCTGGTTTATCTTTTACTCAACAGCAGTGCAGAACTTAAGGGGCATTCATATTCATTTTGCCTCAGGCTCTCGGCACACTTTGCAGTGTCTTGCCACACCCAGTAAGAGTGCGTAAGGCTTTAAGTATCTCCTGTGTGCCAAGGCAAATCAAGCAATTAGTGTGACAGTCCCTAGCAGAGTGGGGAAGAGGGCTTAGGATCTCTCATGAGGCCCAAGGGAGGGGGGAAGACATGCCACGAGCTCCTTTCACAGTCAAAACTCAGTGGAAAATCTTGGAGGCAAAACAGTTACCTTATAATGAAGAAAGAAGGCAGAAATATCTTTACTTGGGGATGAGGCTGGAATAACAAGCTGCTTGTCTGTATGGAGAGACTCTTTTTCTCTGAAAGAGGCCTTCCTCAACTTCATCAGATCCCTGCCCTCATAACAGGTGGCGAACAGGACTTGAAGCATTTCTGTCTGTTTCCAGTATATCCTATCTCTGGATACTCTATTACTAGACCTGTAAGTGCAGACTAGAGAAAAAGGCCCATGTTCGCTTTCTCTTAAAATTTTATTTTATAAAGTGAGATTTCCTTGCAGCTGATTTCATTTGGTCTCAATAAACTACTGTTACTACTTTTGAGGTATGCATTCTACCCTGCTGGTGTGGATTCCACAGCCCTGAAGACCCCTTGCCACTGTCACTAAATGAGAGTCCCTAAGTGATGGAGGGTAAATCATGTCTCACTGTGTCACCTGTAAGAAGTTCTGTCACTGATGCCTCTATTCATATCCTGTAGATGCTGCTAGCTCCCACCTTCATATTGGCCACACTTTCAAGTGTTCAAGAAAGGCATTGTTGCATGCCTCTAAGTTATGATTGCAGATTCAGCTGAAGTTGCATAATAGATTATTCTTCCTGTTTCAAAGGAAAATAAGCCAAAGGATTGAAACTCAGTGTCTATAGATAGTTGGCCCAGTATAATTTTGTTTGGGATTTATTACATTATTTTTCTTCACTGTACATGAATTGAGAGTATTAAAGGACATTTATTCTACACCAAAAGAGCATGCAGCTCCTGTGTGGTTAAAATAATATTGAGATCAGTATATTGGAAGAGACACTCCATCCAGTAACTTCCTTCAGTAGCCCTCACATTCACTGAGAAGGTTGATTGACAGTTTTTGCACACTCCCTGCAACCCTGCCCCAGGAACTTGGAGAGAACACTTTGGAAGAGACACAATAACCCTTGTCTGCAGGCAATGTGCACAGCTGGGAAAGATAATTAAACAGACTATTCCTTTTTGAGAGGATCTACATCATTTCAACAGAAGGACCCAGCAATTCTGCTGGATTCAGACTGAAAACTGTCACTAACAGACATACTTCAGACAGATTTCATAATCACCAGACCTCTGTGGTACAAATGGTTATGGTGAGCTTCCGACACTCCCCCCAAAACCACTAAAACCGTCCGACTTAAATAACGCTGAAGTTTTGACGTGAGAATTAAAAAGTATGATTCAGTTTAATATGTAAGGTTGCTACCAGAAAATGCTCCTTTGGTTTTCCAAAATTGATTGGTTACATGGCTGCAGTTCTCTCTCGAGATACCCTCCAAATCTCATCCTGCTGTGATTGTTTGGGGCTTATGGAGGGTATTGAATTACATTGTGTAGGTTTCATTATGGGTGACATTATCACAGGATTACATTTTTTTCCACATCAAACAGGGAAAGTCATGAGAAGAGAGGAAATACCTCTTGAATGTTAACATTTCTGAAAGTGAGTTTGATTTATAGGGTAGGTTTATATTGCTATTATGAGACTTTATCTGAAAAATTGGGGTGAAATCTTAAAGAATTAAAACTTCCCTGTGAGTTTTACTTATAAACACTGCTCACTAGAGATGGTTTATCCCGTTAGATGTTGGCTACTGAGAAAGACAAGCCTTTCTTGCTGCCTTAGGCAGTGCTTCTTCCAGAGCAAGGCTAGTCCATTTTGACCCAATGCACCCAAGGTGTAGGGATATCTGTTCCTTTTTCTTCCCAGGAGTCCTGAAACCCAGTCACTGTTTTTTAATCCCTTAGTTTTTCTTATGAACAGAACTGCCCATTTTCTCTCCAGTTGCAAGTCCTGCTTTGTGTGACTGAAACCCACCCTTTCCAGTGGGAAGACACTTGCTCTGATAAATGCTACACTGTTAATTGGCCTTGGCATAGGCTGAATGATGTAGCAGAAGGTGCAATAAAATTAGACGTTAAAAAAGCAGAATTTGATAGAATTATGCATTATGTGCTTCTAATGAGTACATAGTCTAGTAGAAGGGTTTACAGACACATGCATAATTAATGTGAATATAGTGTAAGATAATGATCTGTTAGAAGCACATGAAAAGATGCTCAATATCATTAGTCATTAGGGAAATGCAAATTAAAATCACAGTGCCAGTGTGATACCTCTGTACATCTACTAGAATGTCTAACATGAAAAAGACTGACCATACTAAGTACTGGCTGAAGATGTGGAGAGACTGGTACTATTATCCATTGCTGTCGGGGTTGTAAAATGGAACAATCACTTTTGAAGACAGCTTAGCAGTTTCTAAAAAGTTAAACATATACCTACTGTATACCTACCTTATATTCCAGCCATAGTACACTTAAATATTTACCCAGGAGAAATGAAAGCATATGTCCATACAAAAAATTGTACATAGATTGCTCATGGCAATTTTATCTGTAGTAGCCCGAAGTAAATCAAATATCCAATGAAAGGATAAATTGTATTTATTTATTGGCTATGTCCAATGAAAAGAACTTTATTGCTGAGTGGAATCCCACTCAGCAATAAAAAGAATCAACTATTTATACACGTAACAACATAGGTAAGTCTCAAAATAATTATGCTGAGTTAAAGAAGTCAGGCAAAAAGGTGAGAGACTCTTGGAGAATTAAATAAATGCAGTAATGGTGGAAAGATAGAAAGGAGAAAAAGAATTTTATGGTTACTTCAAAGATAGAATTAATGAGGCTTGGTTATGGGATGGTGGCTAGACGGGGCTTACACTCTGAGGTCTTTCTCCACCTTGGGTTTCTCTATGTGGATCATCATCTACTCGGTGGTAAGGATTATATGAAAGATGGCACTTAACTATATAAGAAATGATGAGCTAATTGTTTAATGCTGATTCTTTGATCAACACCCCCAAGCAGAAACATTCAGTAGGCAAACCATCACTGCTACTGCTTAAGGAAAATAAACCTACATTTTGGCTTTTTAGTAAATACAAGTATAGATAACTAATAAAAGTATAATATTAGTGAGAAAAAAATAAAGAAGAGGACAAAGAAAAATGGGATTCCTAGACCCATCTCATGGATAAGAGAGAACAAAGGGTTGAGGGCAGAAAGAGAGAGGAAGGGAATGTGATGGGGGTACCTCAGGACAAAAGAACAGGGAACCGATTTGGAAAGGAGCAAACTTTATGGACATCTTGTTTATGCAATGCCCTTGTCACTCTGGCATGTCTTAATTTGTGTGGTTAGATTTATTTAGTCACTTGATCCAAAGTCTACAATTAATTGCAGCACATAAGAAATACTGTCACTCGTGGTCAAGGGCATAGGTTCTGGAGATTATATTTCCATCTCTGACCTTAACAAGTATATAAGCTCTCTGAACATCTGTTTCCTTATCTGTAAAATGATATCCCCGTGAGTTCCTACCTCTGAGAATTATTGTGTTAATAAATACTTTAAAAATTGGTATGAGAAGTACTTAGCATTGCTTCTAACCCATAGTAAAGGCTCAATCAATTGATCTTCCTCTTTGATTGGAGAAAGCTTTACTCTCCCCATAAGCCATTGGAAAACAAGGGCACTTTTTAGTGTTTATTACCAGAAGTAACCATAATGTCACTTTTATTCATCTGACTCATTCTCTCCCGAGTGATTTATTTACACATTCTACTGTATTAGTCTTTCTTTTCCATGGTGTGAAAAAAAGAGCATGGCTTAGTGATGAAGCAAAGAGGTAGAAATTTAGTGGCTTTGGTCCTGCCTGTGCTCCAATTCCTGTTTGGTTTAGGGCAAGTAATTTAAATTTCCTGCACCTAAATATCTTCAGCTGAAACAGAAATGAAACGTAATGATCACATAGGGCTATTAGAAATGTCTGAGTAACAAGCATACACATTTTAACACTAAGTTCAGAACTTTATAGAAAACTAAGTGGGTTGCTTAAGTTAGTATATTTCTGTAGATATGACACTAAGACATTAAAAAAAATGCCACAGTAAAGTTCACTGATATGCTAGGTTTAAAAAATAGCTACTTGACTTTCCTAGTGTATGCTTCTAATTTATGTTTTCCCATCTAATAAAAAATAGACCCTACCACTTCACATCCCTGGTTGCATTACTTTTCATTTGAGTCAGCAGGGTTTTCTTGTCTTGTTTCAGGATTTGTGGATTTGACCCTCCATGATCAGGTCCACCTTCTGGAATGTGCCTGGCTAGAGATTCTCATGATTGGTCTTGTCTGGCGCTCCATGGAGCACCCAGGGAAGCTCCTGTTTGCTCCTAACTTGCTCCTGGACAGGTGAGTGACCTGGCTGTAGCTTGGGGGAAGCACATTCTTGATAATCACCAGTTTGATCCTGAAGCTCCTTTATCCAGCATTCCACGAAGCTCCCAAGAACTTTATCAGATATATTTACAAACGGGTGGATTCGGGTGATGTAGGGTAGTCGAGTTCACAGAAGGCTAAAACTGTCTGCCTGATGTCTCCCCAGATCAGCTCTCTCATTTCTAAAATATACACGTGTATTGTATACGTGTGTGTATATTTATATATACATATATGCATGTATCAATATATATACACATATGTATGTATCAATATATATACACATGTGTATTTGTGTGTATTTACAAAATTATGAACTGTAATTTTCTAACTTCACCTTCATCTTGTGTTATATAAAAGAATGATGAGTAACTTTCCTTTAATTAAAATCTTTTTTTGGCTCATGTACATCCAAACCACAATAGTCTTTTCATTTCCTTTTCCAGTTTTGCCATCAGTAAATGAAGAAATCTGAACAGAGTTCTGAAGGCCACTTCCAGTTTTATGAATTCATACAAGTTAACTTGCTTATTTTAGAAAATGAAGATTTCAGTTTTCAAATGTGCCACCTTATTTCATGTATTCTATTTGGGTTGACTTGGAATGTGGGTCCTATTCTTTCTTATTCAGTCATTGCTTAGAGTAATCGAATTTAGACGTTATTAAACAGCAGCTACCACTGACAGAGTCCCTACCCAGCACCAGCTGCTGTGCTGAATACTTTACATACATGATCTCATTTAATCATCACAGCACTCCTGGGAAGCCTTATCATTCACGTTTTACCAGAAAGGAAGCTAAGTTTCAGAGACATTCTGCTACTTGCAAAGAGCATTGAGCTAGCCGATGGTGGAGCCAGGATTGGAAGTCAAGATCTGTCTGTCTCTGGCACACTCATGTTGGCTCCTGCCCTGTGCACACATCCTTCACACTCTTTCCTCATCAGCAATGCCTTCTCTGGTCTGCTGCTGTGATCTTTTGTTACCAGATGTACCTTGTCTTTACGGACGACATAATCATTTGAATGGGAAAGCTCCATCTTCTAGTTGTTTCTTGCAGACTTTTTTTGCCTCTGCTCATCAGTCCAAGGCTGCCAGGTTGCACGCGATGCATCTTTGTGCTTTCCTTCCTTTCGGAGCGCCACGCTGCCCCCTCATCTCCTGTCCTGCTCTGGCTTTCTTCCCTACCCCTGCCAAGCCGCCTGGAACAGAGTTCTGGTAGCATTTATTTATTTAAATACTGGAGAATTGTATACGTATTGGTTAGTTTCATCATTTTGTGTTATTATAGCATCATCAACAGTGATGATGCTGTTCAAGAAGCAGCTCTTTCTTTCCCTGGAATATAGTCCCGTATCACAGTTTTGTGGACTGATCGAGAACGGCCACTGGTCTGGTTCCGTAGAACTGCCCTCGCGTGGTATTTAGCCTCTGCCTTTTAGAGGATGTCTCTACGGTGCTTTCGTTTCCTTCCCTTCCCTTCCCTTCCCTTCCCTTCCCTTCCCGTTTCTCTTGTCATTTTCCCCTTCCACCTCTTTTTTTTTCCTGTTTTCCTTCGCTTTCCTCTTTCCTTCTTTTTCTTTGGCCTATCTCCTTTTCCTCCTCCTTTTCTTTCTCGTCCTCCTTTTTCTTCTGCTGCTTTAAAATTTTTTCTGTTACAGTCATGTCGTTCCATGACCAAGTTATAATAAATTTGCAGACGAAAATCATAGACCACGTACAGTGTTTCTCCACAGTAGACTGGAAGGTGTCTTCAGGGTTTAGGATATTGGGGACATTTCTGACTGAATTGATGTGTTCCATGATTTTCTACATCATCCATGTTTACCTTTTGAGGTTCACACTTCCTGAGAGCAATCATCAGTCATTGCATTTTAGATATGAAAGTGTTTGTGACATCACCTCACCCCGATGAAACTCATTTTGCCAGCAAGGTGATATTGTGTAGGATCTTATCAACCACCTGCCTTTCTTTTCCACACACTGTCAGTGTGCTTAATTTTCTCCCATGTTTCTCACTGCAGTGTCAGTGACTAAGAGTTCTCATTTCTCTCCATTCCTACCTTCTAAAATTCCAGATAGGAAGTTCCTACTACCTCTAGACCAGGATTTCTCAACTTCTGCACTATTGACATTTTTGGTTGGATTATTCTTTCTTGTTGGGGGACTGTCCTGTGTATTTTAGGATGTTTAGCAGCATTCCTGGACTTAACCTACTAGATGCTCTCGTAGCAGCATCCCTTTCCCCAGAGATGACAACCCCAAATGTCTCCAGACATTTCTAAATGTCCCCTGTGTGTGTGGGGGGTAAGGAAGGCACAGAATTGTCCCTGGTTGAGAACCACTACTCTAGATTTTCCCATTTCAAAATCCTATAAGCTCTGCAGACTCACAGGATTGAATACATTATCTTCCTCACCACGTTGGTTCCTTTTCTTTTTTTCTATTAGTGGCATTCACCTAGACACTGAAGCTGTCAAGTTCAAGTTAACCATGGATTCCACTCCCCCCACCAGATTATCCAGTTAACTGTCAAGTCCTTGCTGCCCTGTTTCTGAAATCCACACCTCCCCTTTGTCGCCATTCCTCCCCTAGCACAGGTCCAAGTCAGCCCTCCCCAAAGGCTTGCCTCTCCAGCCCTGTCTTTCTCGGCCACCGGCCCTCTTTCCTTCAGTCTCTTCCCACAGGGCTGCCAGAGACTTCTTTCTAAGGCACAGCTGTGATCCTGATGCTTCCTGATTCAGCTTCCACTGGCTCTCTGCCTTCTTTAGAAAGTACCGTCTAGACTTCTTACCTTGATAATTATGAATCCCTGTTGCAAGTGTCACAGACATGGACATCGGCAGAGCGGGTCAGATGATGTAATGAGGAAGGCCAGTGGCTTTGAGTCCAAAACGGAGTTCTGGGGATTAAGTGAGCCTGGTGAGCTCTTTTCCAGGCTAACAGACACCTGGGCCCTGAGTTCAGCCTGAGAGCCACGAACTTGACTTCACTCTTCAAGGTTTTTTTCCACTGCTTCTGGAAGGCCGTGTACCTTTAGGATTCCTTGTCAGAATCTTGGGACCTTCTTTAAGGCCATTTCAGATATTACTCTTCCGGAAAACCTTCCTCCAAACTCTCTCCTCTTTAGCCAGAAAGTAGCCTTTTCTTTGTCTATGTTCTCATGGGGTTTGGTTTCTGCTTCTCTTATTCTCCTTCTGCCACCTGTAAGTTATGACTGTATGTCTTATCTTCCCTTTCAGCTCATGAACTTCGTGCAGGCAGGAGCCAGATCTTGTTCGCCTTTTTGTTCCCTCCAATGAACAAAGTCTTCCATGATCCCCGATAAGTGTTTGTTAATTGCACTGGCCAGGGTCCCCCGGTGGCTCATGGCAGAGTCAGGAGAAGCCACGTCTTCTGATGGTCATTTCAACTGTTCTTGTCATCAAACTCACTCACTTCTTGTTCAGGGCTACTTAATTCCTGGCTTAGACCCTTCTAGACTTTGAAGAAATTAAGATACATCTGTGTCGAAAGGATTTTTAAAATTACTAAGTGCATTTGGCTTATGCTTATACTTCTGCTCATATTCCACAAACCTGTTAAATTCCAAATGAAGATAAACAGAGGATCTTATTTTTCTTCCATCACTACACCCACTATTGAGTAAAATCCTCCAGGTCTTAATACGTTTAAGAACATTTACATACATACATTTCTAATCATGTTAATGATTAGAAAAATATAGAAATAAATATAAATTATAGAAATAATATTATTTTTTTAAATATGGTCTATAGTATATAATTTTCTATATTTTTCTAATTATTAACATGTACCTAAATATTATAAAATTTCAATATTATTAAATTACTCTTTGGTATTAGAAGGTAACTGCTTTTGATGACATTGATATATGCATAACAGTAAAAAATATTGTGACCAGCAGCCCATTTGAAATTTTATACATCTGGAAGATGACTTTTGAGTGATAGTTGAGATCACTGCTTCTGTTTTTGCCTTGCAGGCTCCCAACCCTTTTGATAACATTTTTCTGATTAACATCAGTCACCTTGATCTCCCTTTTGCTCTTTTCCCATCCTTTTGCACATTGTAAACATTTTTTTGTAACAAAATGTAGAAATCCATGAGTTTCAAAGCCAAGTATTTGAGAGCTGGTAAGCAAAAGATGAGTGTTAGCTGCATCATTTTTATTTTATCTCAGGCTTGGTGATACTACCTTTGCAAAGTCGGCCTCCATAGGGTGTTTACATCTGCATAGACATGGGGACAAGAGAAAGCCAGAAGTCCCAAGGAGTCCTGTCACCCAGGGATTATCAACGTTGCTAACTAGAGACAAGGGTTTATCTGCGATAGATTATAATGATACCCTGTTTTCTTAAGCCTTCTTTGCAAATCCAGGCACTTGTGCTTTTCAAGGCTATCAAGAGGATAGAATATACCTCAATCTTTCCTTGTAATTACTCAAATGTTAGTATTGGCAAATGGGGTTTAGTGATTATAGGAATATAAAAAAATTGCTGGATTACCATCCCACACTTGTGAGCAGAGGACTGTATTTCCTATCTAGCATCCATTTCAAAATAGTTATTGCTTGATTTACTCCCGATGATAACCCATGATATCTTGATTCTGGTAGTTTATAGCTTTCCTGGTAGTCATAGGCTTGAAGGTTAATTTTATCCTTGCCACTTCGCCTCTACCCACAGTTTCCATTTCTTCCCGTATCTTGCAGCAGTGAGTTCCAAGCACTTAATGCAGTCTTCTCTTCCTGCGAAAACCAAGAAATAAAGCTTATTATCAGGTATTAATAGAGAACCCAGTAATTTCTCTCAGTGTGTGTGTAGGTGTGTGTATTTTATAAGAGGGAAGTTAAAGATAATAAGAACACCTGTGAAAGTAATCAGGAAATGGAGAAAACTCATTTTCCATTCTAGCACCTAATCCCTTGGTGTGTTTTGGCACCAGAAAACA